TGGTGCATGAGGGTTGCATTAAGCCATTATGTGATTTTCTAGTTTGTCCCCAAGAACTGTTACAGTCTGCCTGAAAGGTCTTGAGAACATTCTGAAGGTTGGAGAATCTGAGAAAACCCCAGGCAAGTATTAATATGTCAATGTCTTTGCCCAGATGATTGAAGATGTGGAGGGTACAGAGAAGACCGAGAGTCTTCAGTTTCATGTCAACAATGAAAGATATGAGATGGCAGTGAAGATACTTCTCCTCAATCTGGTTTCGATTTTGGTGGTGAACTTCCTATTCCTGTATTCCATCTGGGGGATACGCGAAGTTCTTCAAGGCATTCAACTCATGTAGTAATCACTCTATATGGTCTTTGCAACTGCATAACTCCAATGGACAGTGCAGCTGTGTTTTTATGTTCGTTCAACTAGAACAGCAGGGAAGATTTATTTACCAGGGGAACGAGAGGAAACAATGTATCATAAAAAGGAAAATGTTATACAACTTATTTAGCATTCTTCCCCCTTCCCCCTCTTTTTTCCTAGTACAGAAATTGAATACCATGCATTTGCTTCCATACCGAGCAGAACATTAATTGAATTGGATGGTGAATTTTTGGAGGAATACTTAGCGCATGTGTTGTGTTTTTCGGTTCTACATTATCTTTGTGTTATGAATAATTACATAATTTGACATCTATTGGGTTGAAGTACTCAAGATTGGGACATTTGTTGGTCATACTCTTTCCTGGCAATCCATTTAAATCAGATCCAGGTTTCAAGTCCTCATTATTTGATCCCGATATCATGTTTCTGGGAACTTTCTCTATCATTTTTTGTACAATCACATATCAACACCAGTCAATGACATGGGAACTTTTGCAGGGTCGAGTACCCTCAGTCAAATGAAACACTTCTTTCCTGTAGAACTTTTATGGGTGCCGGACAGGTCTTACAATATCTTCGATGTTAGGGTAAGAGTTCTGATTGAAGTGATGTCCATGTATGTTTGCTCCTCTTAAGGTGCCTGAACCATAACGTTGGTTGTGGTATCTTAGATGGTACTAGTATTCGATTAGTCATGATGCAACCCAAACTGCTCGCGTAACCCGAACATACACACAAATGCTGTTTGCTTCTCTCTCTCATTTTTTTCTCATACAGATGCTATCCTGAAAGACTGGTGCTCAAGTGATATTGCATTTTAGTAAAGTTGTCACATAGATTGGTGCTTAACACTAGTGGTGAAAAAACTAATGTATCCAGAAATTCTAGACATGGACGCATTTTGTTAGCATCTTCACTCATATAAGATTTGGCAAAATTTCATGTTTGCCTTCAACCTACACCTTTACCAGGGTTTTGAACCGGGGTACGGAAACAGGCAAAGTTTCATATTAGCCATCTATAGGAATTATATCTCGGCTAAACCTCATGACAGCATTAATAAATGTTCAAGAAATTGTTTTAAACCTGCATCAAGGAATTATTTTTTTAGGTGATTTGTAATATTCCCAACTATTCATGAATATCACAGAAAAATGAACTAACCTATAAATACACACTTATTCCATTTGTAAAGAT